ATGGTCTCAAACGTTGGGGTACAGCATACACCTTGTTACTTATTGTAACCAGATCACCCAATATTATATATAAATAGTCAACTTATAATTTACACCGACTCTGTGTCAATATAGGATAGGGAAATTAAAGGTATCAGATGTGGTAATTGGGTATAAGATGAAAGTGCAAGAAATACTAAATTAAATAAAAGTCGGGGTTTGAGCTTATTTACAGAATTTATATATTCAAATAGATAATGAGTAAGCGATTGACACCCGATTTTTTGTATATAAAGACCTGAAAAGACGAAAATATCTCTGTAAAATTGTTTAAAAAGAGGGCTTATTTCTAAAAACGATCTGTTTGATTTTTCTTTTGGAAGTACACGTGTCCCATTTGTTGTACAATTTATTTCTTAAGTTAACAGCTATATATAACATATTATGTTTTTACTCGTTTCTTTTCCAGGTTGCAATAATTTGTTTAAACATGGCATTTAATGGAACAAATCCTTTATGGAACACATATAAACTGTTTAATACCTTCCAAGATACTATCTAAAAGGGGCGTTTCTTAAAACAATCAAATTAGGTTTGTTATAGGAACAAATCATAATTGACACAAATGAATAGTTGTTATTATTTGATGATGTTGTTTTTTTAGTCAAAATATTGATGCGGAAAAACAAAAACAAGATTTAATTTCATCTATTGATATACAAACAACAATCAATGATAAATTTTGTAATAAATTTCAATACTAGATAAAATATTGGACTAACGTTGTGATCCTTTTATTGCATATCTTAAAACATAATTTTTACTATATAACATCTGAAATACCTTCAACTAATTGTGGCATATTTTTCCGTGTAAGCACTTGTCTCAAATTAAAACATCATTATAAAAGAGGGGCTCCTCGAATGCATACTGCGTGAGAAAATTTGCTAGGACTGTTGAAGTTGGGTAGGAGGTCTATATACAGTAACGATGCATGCAAAAATTTGTCCATCAATGAACATGTCATGTACTAATGACCACTTCAACCAACACGGGAACCCTCTTAACTTGACCTCACTCTCGATAAAGACTAAAACTACCCAATCTATACCTTCTACTTATTTTTGACAATTATTTCATTCCAGCGTTCATGGAATTAAACCGAGAAATAACAGTAGAACAAAATTGTGTATTTTACATAAAAGTATTATACGATTTTCTTATTTTTTGACAAGCACTTTAGCTACTTCATGTTTTTATTCATTAAAAAACGGAAAATGTCGATAAAACAAAAATTGGGAGCGAATATCCTAAAGTTTTGAAATGTTGAATATGGCCGTTCTTTTAGTATTTTAAGCAAATTTATTACTAATTGTGTTTCAGCTAAGACAATTATGTCAAGAGGCAGATATTCAATCTATGACAACCATAGGTTTTCTTATCAGGCTTCTTGAACAATAAAATCATATCCATAGATTATTAGAAAACCACAGCTTATTCAATAATCATATCCATTGATTATTAGAACATTATAGCTAAACTATTCTATTATAAACGTTGAACTTTTGATATGGTATAAAACTCAATGTAAATTATGTTAATAAATTTTGGAAAGAGAAAAAAAGCCCCTTTCATTCCGAATTTAAGCAACGTACTTTGCTTTGAAATTGAAGAAAACTAGTTGCACAGCAGCTAAAGCGATTACTAACTATTGCGTAAGCCAGCAGAAGTGTGGTGTTTGGTGCGACACTTTCTGGCAAATCCCGCTTCAATCGCTAAGAACTAGCACTTATATAAACATATATAATTGTTATTCATTTATAATGAAGATAAAAAATTCCGGCAGTTATTAATTTCATTGACTTCTGTATCCGAGATAATCAAAGTTTAAACTTCCCTCGCAATAAAATACTTTCTGTCTTGCGCAATAAAACAACATCTTATTTACTCCCAATACCCACAGCAGAACAACGCTAAATATCTTAAATTGACAAGTCCATATTAAAATCGGGACAAAGCCATTCATCATTTTTAGGTAAACCGTTCAGATCACGATCAGTACCGGCGGTTCTTGGTCTGCAATATCCGGCATGGGCAGAATCGGTTGACGGCAGCGGGTTAAAACAAGCAGGTCACTAAAACCGAATCAAGGTGTTAACAAATACATAGATCAGTTGATCTTTCATTAACACCAAATCAATCACCCCTCAATATATTGCAATTTTAAATCATCAAATTTCAAAGGCACAGTCTAATATCTTTTTTTTCACGCACATCACTTCCATCTCCAGATATCAAAGCATGATAAAGATCGGAAAATTTCAAAATTAAAGGTAACCATCTTTTAAGAATATTTCATTCTTTTCTTTTTTTTTAAAGTCGCTTTTATATATTTATTTGACATTGTCCCAGCATAATGTTGGTGTTCTATGTAATAGAGTATTGTCGCAAGTGAAGTACGCGTAACAACTCTTGAAATATAACTTCTATCAAAAGCACCACTTCATTTTTTTAACTTGAATTTTCATTAAAATTCAAACTACACTTTCCTACATTAAGTTGGGAGACAAAGTAACTGTTACAAGGTACCGACTGTACATATGGAAGGGCATTTAAGTAAAAATTCCATTCATGTAAATGTATTGTAAATTAAAATCCATTCGTGTAAATGACTTATTCTTACACAATTCATGTAAATGACTTATTCTTACACAATTCATGTAAATGACTTATTCTTACACCATTCATGTAAATGACTTATTCTTGCATGTGCATTACATGGATACAATGGTAAATTAATAATTAAATACCTTTCCATATGTACATACAACATTGTCACCCGTATATTTGTCCAAGCAAACTACATGTATATATCTTTTCTAAAAAAAAAGAAAGAAAAAAAAAGACGCAATTACCCTTACCCTATGCAAGAATCAAGTGATAAGTCCTTGGCCACCAAGTTCAGAGCCCTTACAGAGTGCGTTAGTGATGTCATTGTGTTGTAGCTCTTTTTTTATTTATAGTATTGTGACATCAAAATCAAACAAAAAAGAATTAACGATGCTCTAATAAATGGATGCCGAGTTCTTTTATAGTTTCATGAACACTAAAAGTATACCTATTTTAATCCGTAACACGCTAAATATCTTGGACGTGTCCATTTTTTAATCTGGACAACTTACGGGAAAATATCAAAGTGTATATCAACTGAATAGTTTTCAGTGACGACTATTACCAGGCATTTGTGCCGGTTTGATCTTGGTCTACGCTGGTCAATCTGTCGCAATCGCAACTCTTCGGTCCTTTCTGTCAGACTTCGGATAAATTATAGATAATAGGTGAGGATGGTCCGATTGAATCTGTTGCCGCCAGCAGGCAATCGCAACTTTCGGTCCTTACCGCAAGTCTTCGGATAAGGACATCTGAAACCACGTGGTAGAACTACTTTCAATCCATATTGTTTCCGAGATCATTATAGATAATAGCCGTGGACGTTCCGATTGCGACAGCAGGCTAAAGAACTGTAAGGTCTGTTTTTGCGAAAGTATTTTTTTAGCAGTTTTAATGTTAGACAGTATAGCAGTGATGACAGAGGACACCCAAGTTGAGCACACGGAGGACAGAGCGATCAAGGCTGTTTAAATACTTGTATTTTCAATTTCAAATTCTATACAGAAATAATTAGTTATTACAAGATCCATTGAGTAAAGAAATAATTAAAATCTACCGACTATTTAACTCTGTGTTCTCCAATTTCCCTTTTCAAAAATAAATCCTTGCCGTACATTCACCATAAAAATACAGAATTTCTAACGATATAAAATGAAAACAAAAGAAATCGGGTATATTAAATCTTGACGTTTTTTTCTGCTCAAGTCTAAAATAGCGTGAGATAGCAGTACATTTACAACAGCCACTTTTTCAGGTCATTCATCCAAATATTACTGGGTAATTCATGAATATCTAAAAGAAAATTTTGAATACAAAAGCAAAATTTGCGACACTAAAACATGAAAAAGCTATTCGGGCATCTCTTTCAAGATTAACGCGAGTAGGCTTGGAAAAGAAAAACGAACAAAATGTCTCTCCATTTTAAAACACAATGTATGTCACATGTGGACTTTTCAGGTAAAGTATACACACCCTATGCACCTAACTTGATACTACATGTACTTTTAAACCTAATTTCTTAGTGATGAAAATTTCTGTAATAGAACCTATAACTCGTAAGGTTTCATCGTGTTTCAAAAGGCTAAATTTCCATCTGATGAAGACTCCGTGTGCACCTATGTGTCAAATTTTCAGGCTAGTGTGTTCAACTTCTATGTAGTGAATATTCCTTGTACCTATGTGCCAAATGTCTAGCTGATACTTCTAGTATACCTATGTGCTTAATTCCTATGTTATGAATACTCCTTGTGCACCTATGTGCCATATTTCTGCCTTATAAAACTTCTAGTTTACTTCTGTGCTTAATTCCTATCTTGTGAATTCTCCCTGCCAACCTATGTGCTGAATTTATTGCTGACAAGATTTCTAGCATACCTATGTGCTTAATTTCTACGTACTGAAGACTCCTTGGAAAATTTTGACTGACAAATACTTCTAGTAAACATATGTGCAAAATTGACTCATTGCGAGCCTATTTGCAATATTTTTTAACTATTAAACTTCTAGTACACCTATGTTTTTAATATCTATCTAGTGAAGATTCCTTGGGCACCTATGTGCCAAATTTCTGGCTAATATATGAACATCATGTATATTTTGGAAACATGACATGTTTTTTGTTATTTCATACCAGTAAAATGTTGATTTCCATTTGTGAAGGAACATATTATAGTATAACTATGAGCTGGTGAAGACTCGTGGAAATTTCTGGCTAATGACTCTTAGATAGGTATATCTATGAGCTTTGAATTTACTGATAAGGACTACCTGTTCACCTATGGGTGGGCAGACCTGGCTCAAACAGATGGCAAGGCTAAACAGGTAATTTAGGGTTAAGATAAAAAATAATCAACAAGAAGACAAGTTTATTTTTTCATCTCTCTTTTTTTTTTTGACTTTCAGATCAATTCATTTTCTAGAACTGCTCTTTGAAAGTAAGTTTCAACAGCTTCAATGAGACTACAGAACAATGTTTGTTACTTTTTATGCTGAAATTGCACAGTAGTATGCGTCTAGGCATTATTCATACTTAAATATTATTCATACTTAAATATATAATTCATTCCATTCTATTTACAATTTAAAATGAGTTTCACTTCCAACTATTTACAGTCAGATAATTTCTATATATATAGACAAGTCCTGCATTTTTTTGTATATATGAAAACATTATTTCATTATTTAGGCAAGTCTGTGAATGGAGAGGGGCCATAACTTGATCTTGTACCATCAGCCCCTTATGAGAATACCTTCATCTCAAACACCTTACAGTCTCATCTTCTATACCCAGGGGGCATGGGGTAACCTCTGTTGTTGTTATTTCCATACTGAAAATAGAAAAAGATATATTCCATGGGAACAGTATATTAACACAAAGAAAGGGGATTTTTAGTGTGTACAATATGCCAGTCCTTTAACCAGTTCCTTAACCCGCTATATTTCTAAAATGGACTTGTCCACTTTGGAACTGTCCATTTTAAATTTAGGGGATATCAAAATAATAATTAGTCAGCAGGATAAAGCCTGGTCAACCTACAGGTTACCATAATGGTTTACAATTTCACTGCCACATTTGTATATTATATAAATAACACATAGGTCAATATCAAAATACAAAATAAGTGAGCTACAGTAGCCTGATCAGAGTGAGACTGCACTGACTACATTTTCAGTCATACTATCCTCAATTACATGTATTGTCATTTGTTGATTATTTTATCTAAATAGCTCATGTGATTGTATAAACAGTCTCGAAGAAGATGAAATCCAATCCATTACATGCAGATATGTTATATCAAAGGTCTCTTTTTTTACAATTTTTTTATAAAATATAAGCCTACTGGTTCCCTATTCAACCCTTATATGTGGAAACAATCAATACATCAACTTTGTGCAATAACTGGTTAACTCCTATTGAAATCTGAATGACTTACCCCTTACTGCACTAAGGTAACAAATATTTCAATATTACATACCCTATTATCTCTGTCTCCTTGCTGGTTCCTGTTTCCACCACCACTACCACCTTGTGATGTAGAGTATGATCCCCCATACTGGGAACCACCACCACCACCACCACCACCTTGGTTGCCAGTACTATATGATCCACTGTAAGATCCACCGTATGTATTTCTATTACCATTCTGTGTCAATACATCAAAAACAAATACATGTAAAATATCTGTCCAGATGACAAAAGCATTTCCAAGATTTTCCTAACAAATAACAACAGCTTTTAGTAAGACAGCCCTCTTGACTATTCTCAATGATTGACAGCAAGGAAAGGGGCATAACTCTGTACAAAAGATAACTAAGAGTTATGTGACCTGTGCCCATCATGTTAGAATAAGATAATCACAGAGAGCAAGTGTGTGAAGTTTCAACCCATTCTCTTCATTGGTTTTTGAGATACCATCTGGCACACAAAAACTTAACCAGTGTGACAGGGACACAGGGATAAGTAATTCAGCTCTTCGAATTCTTTGGACATGAGAGCTAAAAATGTTTAAACAAAAAACTCTTTTTAAAAATTGAAGGTGGATTTGTACAGAAATTTCCTTGGGCCTTTTTTATAAAGTTATTTATCATTTATGCAAAGTAAATTATAAAGCTGGTAGGAATTGTGGCAAAATGTAAACCTATTTTGACTTTCATCTGTTCACTTACTATATACCCATATATGGTTTGAATACCAGGAGACTGTTCAGCAAGATAACTGAGGGTCAATAATTTAAACAAGGTGCCTGAAAAGGTTGGTGCATGGAAATGCAAACATGTGAAGTTTCTGTCTGCCAAGTAGATTATTTTAGATCTTTATTTTTACCAGGACATAAATCATCCCTGGGACACCTTCCAGACAGTTCCGGAAATGAACAGTCCGAAGTTAGGGACTTAATGGCATGTATGTCTCTAGTCCTTAACTTGCCGAATTCTTAATGGAACTGTCCATTATTAATTTGGGGAAAGTGTAGTTTAGAGCAGGTTGGCCATGCTCAATACTGGTGGTAAAGACTAATCAGATTTGCTTTCAGATAAGTTAAAGGCTAGAAATAACTTACCCCATATCCTGAAGCCCCGCCTCCTTGATTGTGTCTACTATAACCTCCGGACTGGGCCTGCGTATTTCTCTGGAAAGAATTCATTGCCCCAGACTGGTTGTTCTGGTAACCATAGCTGCCCTGATTCCTAAAATATATCAAATTCTTTTGAATATATTTTTATTTATATAAAGCTATTATCTAACTAAATACTGTTGGGAATTTTGTTATTTGGGTGAAATTAAGGGTTTATCTAAAGAAAGAAATTTTAATTTGACATTCTTGAATAAAAGATTACGTACCATCATGAATTTGAAAATATCAACTATACCCAGGTAATATCATAATAAACCCAAAGCAACTAATCAGTTTTCATCCTACATTTTGTAATAGCAACTCGCACCTTCTGTCAACAGTTTTTGTCCTACCTGTTTTTAGGACATTTTTGTAATATTTTAAAATTCAAAGCTTTACTACTGTGACTAACTCCATAAGATTTAAATCTACTTTTATCTTTCTTTAGATGAAACATAAAAGTTCAGTAACTCTAGGTCTTCTTCTTCAAAACGAATGCAATTTGTATTGAATTTCATATATTTTCATTTCTTATTAACTTCACCCAAAAAAGTAATGCAATTTTATCCCGAAAATGCCCAGAAGAAATGTTTAACCAAGCTTATTTCCCGGTCCGGATGTTGAATGTCATATTTCATGGTGCCTTGCTCCGAGGTCACTCCAGGTGATCGAGCGACCCTCTTTTAAAACCGACCAATCATCCAATTACCGGCCCCTATAGCACCTTATTTACAATTACTTGCATTGTTCTGTTGTACCGCTAACAAATACAACAATTATCATGTTATTTTCACGTGAAATGTTATATTCTGCTAGCCTGAATACAAAACGGTAGCGATCTTAAAACGATGAATATTTCGCGAGATCATTATCCCACCCATAATTTCCAGCTGATGTCTTAATGTGAAAATTTGAGGCTATTTATGAGAACATACAATACGACAATTCTATTCCTTTCAGCTAATATTGCAAAGTCCTTATTATTCTATTAGTTTCACAGTTTTACGTTCAAAACCTGCACTCCTGAATTTTTTTTTACGATTTCCGATACCAACATGCATGAAATACTATGAAGAGGTGACAAATTTAAGTTCATACTTCAGTATTAAATCAAAATGATGATAATTATAACTGTAAAATGATAGTTCTTATTTGTATTCATATATGATATTAAAATTTACTCAAATCATTTTTTTTTTGGTTTTCTTTTTTTTTTAACTTAAAAGAAATAGCATAAAACAAATATAATGTATCTCTTCTTTACTGTATACCTAAGTTCCAGAAAGAAACAAAACAAATAACATGATGACAACCCCCCCCCCCCAAAAAAAAAATAAAAAAATAAATAAAATAAAATGAAATAAAATTATTTAAAAAACATCTGAACTTTTCAATGAATGGAACTATGTTGTTTTTGCACAAACAAAAGGCTGTGAGTGCATTACACAGGTAGTCAAATTTGTGCCCACCTCTGAATATCAACCACACAAAACCAACCTCTCTTAAATGACCATTTCATCTATCATTTTTCATTTTAATAATTAGTAAAAACTATCTGTTTTGAAGGACCAACTGCTGAAAAAGACCAGTAGAGTCCTTATAAACAGGTTTGAATGTACATGCATCTATTATGTGCAAAATGTGGATGTTAATTAATTTTATTGAAGATCAAGAAAGAGTTATACCAGTGTGCAGTAACATTTCTTTATTGAAATCAACACAGTCAAAATGTAAAGTTTGTGAAAGCTATCAAAGCATCATATATTATAATATGCCTGTTTGTAGTAAAATCAAAGCAGAAAAAGCACCATTAATAATAATACAGGGTTCGTACAGACATCCGATGCCCAAATTCAAGCACTTTTTAAACACGTTTTTCCCATTTTTTCAAGCACAATTCTGTTGCACATATATCATTTGTAACCAATGTTAAAGTAACTTTAAAACAGTCTTAAAACAATGGAAACATTATTCTTAACTGCTAAATAACATACATTGTTCACTATTTAATATTTTAATATGATGTATAGAATAACTAAAATATTCTAGTATGACCAGCAAATTTCATTATGATCATTGTTCATCTACTTTCATTACATACATACCGTACATAGTGTAACAAGTATCAGTAATACGACTAGCAACCATAATTATTATGGTTGTGTATACCCTCATTATATACATGTGTAGCATTTTCTGTTTGAGTTTTACATCACACCGACACACTATAGGTCATATGGTGACGTTCCAGCTTTACTGGTGGAGGAAGACCTTGGGTGCCCTTCGGTGCATTATTTCAGGAACGAACGAGCACCCGAGTAGAACCAATAACTTTCTGGAAGCTAGCTGGATAGCTTCCTAACATGAAAGAATCCAAGTACCTGTCGGGGTTCGAACCCACAGAGGTGAGGGGCAAGTAGTTTGAAGTCAACAACCTTAACCACTCGGCCATGGACGCCTCTGTAGCATTTTTTGATAGCTATTTTATGGTTTTAAAGAACAACAAGGGGCGCAACTACAATATAATGTACCCCAACTAGTTTGAATTAACTGCAATTCATCTTCTTACTCTTACCTTAAGTAAATATTTCATTGACTTTGGTACTAAATATGGTCCTTTTTGTCATTTTTTTCTGACACTATGTCATTCAATCATTTTAAAGCATATTTGCTGCAAATATGAGCACTTTTCAAAAGAGTAATCAAATTCAAGGACTTTTAAGCACTTTTTGTTATCAGTTCTAGCACTTAAAAAAGGGACCCAAATTTAAGTCTGTACAAACCCTGTAATAAAAGGGGAATAACCTGTTAAAAACATTGAGTGTGTTCTACATGATCCATGATAGACTCAAGTAAGAAATAATTAAATAAGAAAAGGCTTTCCATAGTTTTACAAAAAAACAAATGCATTCAAACAAAGTAATATCTATCCCTTTTAAAATTTTGTGAGCACATGCCCTGCCTTGAAAATGGCATAATCCATTGTCATTTTAAGGGATTTCATAATATAGTTTGGTCTCACAGTATTGATATGCATGCTTCCCGGGAACCATGTTGCTGGCACAGGCATGCTGGGAACCATTTTGGTGGCACAGGCATGTCATTTATAATAACTAGCATGGATTCAAACAGGCATATTACTATTCAGTGTTAAGTAAACTTTGTAAACTTGAAATAAAGTAACAAGAAGTAACAGATTTTACATGGCTGGGTATACTTGAGGTAACGCTGGTGGTATCCAACCTCTGAAACATAACAATTCTTACATCACATGTTAATCTACTGCATTAGAAATATGATAATGAAAAATTAGGTAAATGTAATAAAATTATTTATTACATTCTTATAAATGAAATATTGAGAAATATTGATGAAATAAAATGCGTTTTTTATTTTCCGTATTTTCACTGTAAAAATTTATTTTTCACTACAGTGAAACATATTTTCTGTATTTTCACTGGTGTCTTGCCGGACTACTTTCTTCTAAATTCAGCTAATAAACAAAATTAAAAGGGAATTCTTCCTATTCATGAAAATTCAAGTTTTTTTCTATAAATACAGGATTTTTTTCATCTTGTGGTATGAAAATTATCATATTTCACTCGTGGCTACTGCCACTCGTGAAATATTTATTTTCATATTACTCGATGAAAATAAATCTTCTATTTAAAGAAGAAACTTGAATATCCTCTATATCCATTTTCATGTATCTTATCCTTTAATGGGGTAGATATTAAATAAAGACTTTATTATTGTCATTATCTACCTGCAAGTAGAAAGTTCAGAGTATTCAACCAGTAAGTTGTAAATTATCTAATACTAAATTATTTTGTACTCGTATAAAACCGTTTTGTTCTAAGAGATTTTTTTATTGGGTTTGGCAAAAAGATGTGGCAGTGTTTGGGGGTGGGGGAGGCAGGGGGATGGGATGTTGGTGGTTTGACTAGTGATTACCAACTTCTCTATATGAATCAATAATTGTGATATCTGTAGAGCATAAATAATTTCACATATACGGCTGCAAGTGTATGCAGGGAAGCCTAGTTATAGTGGAACAGACATTGCCTGTACTCAGATGATCATCTAATAAAAAAACACCACTACAATCTGTGCAGCTTACAGAAAAAACAACACATATTGCTTCCTACATATGCTAGATTTCATGAACACATGCAGTACATTTCTTTGTTCATATGTTTATTGTCCCATGTCTTTTTTAATGATTTTTTTTTTGGTTTTACATGGCACAAACCTAGTAGATGCCACATGGCACAAACCTTGTAGATTCCATATGGCAACTTTCCAGCTTTACTGGTGAAAGAAGACCACAGGTGCCCCTCAATGTGTTATTTCAGGTACAAAAGGGCACCTGGTTAGAACCACTGATGTTCCGCATCCTAGCTGGATAGCTTCCTCAAATGACAGAAAAAAAAATTATACTAGTATGCAAGAATCCAAAATCTGAACCAAAAGCAGTGAGGGGAAAGTGGTTTAAAAAATCAAAACCATTAAAAAATCCGCCACAGACACCCGTAAACTGTAAACTTGAATATTTACTTCCCCTTTTGTAACATTAATTAAGACTTACCCCCCTTGTCTGGCACCATATCCGCCACTGTAACCTCCCCTGTTATAGCCTCCAACACCACCTGAAATATAGACAAAAACATTGTAATGAAAACATCTTCCTTTAACAGTAACTTTCTTAATGTAGAAAAAAAACAACTAAAGCAAATAAGTGAATGTAATAAACATTTCTTCATGTATCAATTAATTAACTGATTAAATGTAATTAGTTAATTAATTAATTAGTTAATTAATTATCTAAATAATTAAGCATAAAGTATTTAAAGGCTATAGCTTATCTATAGTATTTTAAAATAATAATAAGCTTTTTTGCCCTCTATATGTTGGAACAATTTTGTTTCAATAAAAGGGTTTTAAGTTAAACTAAATCGGTAACATTTAGACCCATTGTTTTCATTTTGGGAACGCAGTGCAACCAATTTTCACTCCACCATGAAAATTTCAGGCTTTATGTATCAAAGAACAAATTAATTTTTAGTAATTCTAAATTTACAATACATATTTTGATCTTTATTAAACTCAAAGATCAAATTATATTTTAATTTTCCTAAACTTAAAATACATACATGTATTTTGATCTTTATTTAAGTCAACTTGTCAGATACTTAACAATTAAACCATACAATAACTACCCACGTAAATTTAGAGGAGCCCCTTTTTAATCTACAATAATTAGATATTTCAGAAGTTTAGGAGCTTGAATTGTTTAAAAAACTATTTAAAATCATTAATGAAACTATCAACAAATTGTTCAATCACACATTTTTTATCTTAATAAATTCTCTTTATTTGACAAGTTGACATAAAAGATACTATACACAGATGATAAATCTATGTTTTAACAGCAAGTGCACATGTCTTTTAAAATTGCACATTTATTCTTTGTTCTGAAACTTAAAACAAAATCAACACAAGCAGCTTGCCAATGATAACATAAAACAAATTTAAATTTCTCTAGCATACGTCCAACGTACAGCAAATTATAGAGACTTTGATATTTTGAAACTTCGAGCTCAACTGAACACCTTTATCAATTACATATCACTTGATGTGGATTAGGAGTCCATTAGCTCACAATTAGCTGCGAGCCTGGCGTTAGAATGACACACTTCAAGTACGGGATTAACACACGGTCATTGTGTAATCTATCATAGTGTAGTAGTTTTGTTTGTCGATACAAATTCCATACAACGTTGGTCAAGCAAGTCATTAAAGCGACAGCATTGATCGGGACTTGAGCTCGTAACAAAGACCGATGATATCATGCCATTATACTGTTGTACTTCAAGTACAAGCCCAACTCGTAGCAATTAGTATGTGTAATATTACAGCCGCACAAAACCTATAACAAAACCAAAAACACTTTAACCCATACTCTTCTGAATTTGTGTAAAGGACTTTTATGTCATATCTGTCCATTGTTATTCAAGGTATTTAAACATAAAAAATAACACAATAAAAGAGGCAGAAGTCTTAGTCTTGTTAAACTGCATTGATGTTTATGATTACATGAATATATAACACAAACAATCCATAACGTCATTTACTATTTTTTATAAATGGACATATTTTGATTCTTAAAATTATCCGTTTCTATTGGCCTTAAAATAGAAAAAAAATCTTCTGAAATTTGCTTATTGTTACTTATTCATATTTATATTTATCTTTAACATTTTAATAATAATTCACTTTCTTATTTTTAATGTCAAATACAATGTTGACTTCTTTTGACGCCATTTGTCATTAAGTGACGTTAAGGGTTGTTTTATACATGTGGTATATGTATTTTTGTTTCCAGCAATGAAAAGCATAATCCTCTCTGTTTATTTTTTTGTTTTTGTTTGAATGACCATACATAATTACCTTCAAATTGAACTAGTTTTATTTTTCACAGAACATTATGAAAAAGTTATTTTTCTTAAAAAATATCTGATTAACAGAAAAAAAAGTACATTTTAACAAATAATAAATAACCATTAATACTCTTTTTGGCCTTTAACAAACCTAAAATCATCTAGCTCAAATTCGCAACTCAAGAAATGTCATAATGAAGACGAAGTACAAGTCGTATTTGTCAAAAATGAGGATAGTAGAAAGTATTGAAAATTGAAACACGTGATTAAATCAGTGGCCTGCTTAAGATGGTGTAAAGGCATCATGGGAAATCGCTCATTAACCAATCATTACAGTGTAATTTGCTGCGACATCAATTCATTAAAGCAGATGTACGGCCCGCCACGTTATTATTCGCAGGCCATGATTATAAGGCCGCTACTGCCAGGCAAACAAAACACCAATTTTCCCCATCAACTCTCTCAATGACAAATACACAAAAAAGAACAAATCTGTTTGGACGGCAAATTAAACATGTCTTAATTCTCCGAAGAATAAGAAAATTAAAGAGGCTTAACTTGACATGGCCTACAGTGCTGCATTAAAGCAGGAAGGATTGGGATACTTTTTGTTTTTCTTAAAACATTTTCTTAAAATGTGTTAAGCACCAAAATGAAAAAAAAAAAAAAAAAAAATAAATAAAAGTTTAAAAATTTCCCCTCATCATTATCAAAGCAAATAAGAATTTGAAAATATAGTAAAGTACAGTAGATTTAAAGGTACTCCACTTACGTTAAAAGCCCTAAAACATAAAATCTGAAATTCTTCAATAGATTAGCTGGGGCCCTAAAACAATTATTCTGAAATATGAATAATCTGAAATTTTGCATACCACTTATAAGTTCAGACCTACGTAAAATGGTACTGAAATCTAGAAAAAAAAGTATTTCCAGTTCCATCATGCCAAAAAAAAAAAAAAATCTCAGCGGAATTCCTTTAACATATATCTTGAAAATGGACCCTGTGAAAGAAAGAACGACAAAAGCAGAAAAGTATTTTGGCACATGGTAATTGGTTATTTGACCAGAGTAATTCAGGCGACAAAAGAAACAAGGAGTTTGATATTTGAAGATTGACAAGTATTGAAAGTCTCAAGATGGCCTTAGAATATTGCATACATCGCGTACAAGTACTCACTACAAATTCAATTACTGGTTCCCACACACTGATTGGCCGGTTCCATGATTGACAATAATTGAGGGTGAATGTGTGTCGAATACAAGAAAGAAACATTTCCAACTTTTCTATACTCGCAACACAAATCACGTTAACTCGAAAAATTGAAAATTAGTCCCATGTTTTTCATTATGTCTTTATCAGAGTGAAACTGACAAATCTGCTTAAAAAGAACGCAAATGTGAAAAAAAAATTGGAAATACAGAATATATATAGAATTTTACTTGTTTTAAACAACAAAAAAGATATGGACAAAAAATATATGCTTATTCTGCTTCAACCATCTTTGCTAAATTTATAACATTTTTTTAAAAAGTGAACAATTTGCGCATAATTTACCCAAACCTCCTTTTCGTATTTGATAACATTTTTCTATGGAATTTAATCATGCAGTAATGATACTGACACAATCTCATTTCTGTTAAAGTTGCATACCTCCAGGTGAGCTAAATTTTTTCAAGAAAATCAAACTTGAGAAAAATGTATTAAGATTTTAAGGAAAGTAAAAACATACAAAATTCAAGAAATAATTTACATGTTATGTGTGATTAATGACTGAATTTGCAGCATTTGTCAACAAATTTTTTACTGCGCGACTAACCCGGTAAGGGCTATTTTTGCGTATTTTCACATCTTTTTGGCAATTTACTTGGATTGTAAATTTTAATAAATCTAATTGTTCCTTCACAATATTTTACTATTAAATACATTTTCAAATTTTTCATGAAAATGTGTTGTCCTTCCTGGAGGCATACTGCTTTAATTTGGAAGAACAATATAGCCTCAGTTATATAAACATTCTCTACATTATGTATGACAGATTTCAAAATAGATCATTTAAGTTTCCATTTTATTCTATAACTAAACATAAAGCTTCTTATGCCAAAACAACTTTTTTTCTTCGTTACATGATATAAGATTGGTATGCAGCATTTGCAATATTCAATGAAAAATTGCCTTAAAATCAAATAATAAAAAAGAGAGAATATCTTCTCATGTCAAAGTACAACATTATAATCTCTGTCAAGCATAAATGACAATGGTTTTTTAAATCTAAAGAGATGTTGTATTTCAAAGGAATGTGTCAAAGAATCTTCTTCCCTCCAATTACCAAAGATCAGGAGAAGAGTGCCTATTTCTTGCCTAACAGCATTTACAAATTTTTGTTCACAACGTATAAGCTGTGGCAGAGAGGTATTGACTTGTCCACGTACCTCAAGGGCGGAACACGGAATAAAGGAGAGAAAGGAATCTCTGACAATCATCTGAATTTATGACTTAACGTCAACCATCATTTCCAGGCACTTGACAAATAAAAGCTCCGTCAAATAGGATAATCATAGGATTTTGTCAGTCAGAAATTGCTGAGAGAAAACATCGCGTTAAACTTTCCGTCGGTCTTTATTAAGAAGAAGAGTGACATATTAGCTGAGGTTGGTTCATTAAGCAGAGCTCTCCAGTCAAAACCAACATTCATCGTGTCGTATTCAATATGGCCGAGAGGCATTCCAAGACTCTTTCATCAATTTTCCTTCCAAACGACTGCTATAAGTAGAGATTTAAGACGAGCGAAGCTTGTTAACTGAGATATTACTGAGAGTGCAAAGTGCTATCAGGTATAGTCCAAGCACCTATTACAGCTCTCTCGTAACGTAAGGTCAACACTTCATCCTCTCTCCACGCTCTCAACACGTCATACAACCACGTACAACTCTCACCTCGCTCTCACTGTAATGTTTGTAGTAACTAGACTCCACTTTTGTTTTACATCAGGTACTTTTCACTGTAACTTGATTACTGTCATGTTATCGTAAAGGTATTGAAGGACCATCGAGGCGATTTTAAGTCTGAGATGGGACTCGACAGTACTACAGTCTAACTAATCTATCATTTTCTCCTTTCTTTAAAGATGAGTAGCCAAATAATTGCATAAAGTGGCTTTAAACATGTTCTTCATGTGTGTAAGTAAACCTGACTACAATGTTCACAATCA